CTGGAGGAGGTTGCATAATGAGGGGCTTCATTACTTGTATGCCTACTTCTTACCAAATGTTTCTAGAATGGTATAAGCAAGGAGGATTAGATAGGAGTAGCATTAGTACGGCTAGGGAGTTGAAAAAAGGCACACAAAAATTTGACCTGAAAACCTGAAGGAATGTTGCACATGTATAGCTCAAGCAAATGTGGCAGAATAATATTAAGATGGATCGTGAAACTGGAGTGTGAGGGTGTTGACTGGATTAATTTGCCTGAGGACAGGGACCAGTGTCTGGCTCTTACGAACTGGGCAATAAACTTCCGGGTTTTCATAGAGGCTGAGCTATTATCAGCTTTCAAGGGACTCTGATCCGTAGAATTAATGATGTTCACCTATTATTCGGTAACTATATGGTGGGTCCTTGATGACACGAAAATACTGTCTGAAAGCGGAAAATTTATCGGAAAAAAGCGAAATCCTCTCGGGTGATCAGCGGTGTCAACGTAGAGTTGGTGTCCGACGTTTCAGAGACTGTCTCTAACATCAGCAATTAAAATGATATAACCGGGACAGTAAGAATTTTCTGTGGACTGTAGCTACATGTTCTACTGGCGGAAAAGTGCGCTCACCTCTGAGCCTTAAATGTATATTACTGAGAAGACATACAGAATAGATAATTATGACATATGTCTAAATAAGTTACACTAATTAACGTAGTAACTTAGTGTGTGGTATATTTTAAGAGCGCTATTACAAAATCCACCGCTGGACATGACGCTGAGCAAGTTCCATCCACCTTCAGTCCTTGTAATTTATATGATTTCCGTAAAACGTCTCAATATAAACCTTTTAGTTTCTGTCAAGTCTTAAAACTAACCGTCTCACGAAATATTTTCCATAGAAAGTAAATATCTAAATTACTGTGCTTAAAGTTAATTTTTTGGCGATAACAGATGAACCATTGGACACAGAATTTGTAACAGAATAATTAGAGCGTTACTGGTAAAAAGTACGTTTAAGATAATGTAACCATCAACAAAACTACCTTTCTTGGTGTCGCATATTTTTATTATTAAAATTACTTCCCCTACATATTTCGACCTGTGTTTGTCGTCTACATGTGCTTACTATATCACAAGCAGACTAGTGAATTAGAATGCACCTCACTGTCTTGATGAAAAAGTTGGAGCCACTTTTACATAAGTTACATAAATATTAATTTATGAAAATAAGTCTCTGAAAGTATTAAAGTGTATATTATATGAGACGTTTAAATTAGATGATAAAATGAGCATTTATAAAGTTATGATGTTACAGCAGCTAATATGGTAGTCTTATTGGTACTTAGCCTGGAGCTTGAAGTCGTTGTCTTGATTGTTTATATATATATATGTAATATATCATATTTTGTAGCGATTTTATTTTTATTGCTTACTTGGGAATTAGCCGTGTCCGACGTGCAATAACGGATATAGTACTTTTGTTGATATCTTGATGTTGATGCTTGTGTTTTATTGTTATCTATTATTGTTGTTACCTCTGATGTGTGCGGTATTTTTCGTAGTTGAAGATGAATTACGATAGGATGTATGTTATATTTACGTCTTACCTGGCGTCTTTATGGTGCATTCTTTGGGGTTCTTTGTTTCCTATTCTATGTTGCGCATTCTGTAACTGAACGTGAAAATTAATTACTAATAGTTATTTATGCACTTAGACCTTTCTATTGCATGTTTGCCATGTTTTCCTTATTTTGTTTTACGTGGTGGTGGTGGTGGTGGTGTAATCAGATAGAGTTGTTTGTGTAGGCTGCTCTGATGTGTGTGTGTGTATATATATATTGAAATTCATGTTAAAGATTTTAGTATTACATGGTAAATTGGATTTCTTGTAATACTTGTCGAAACATGTTGTGGAAGTAGTTTTAATAAAACATGTATGACACACCAGGAAAGGTAGTTGTGTTGATGATCATAAAGAAGTGAAATATATGTTTTTATTGATAGCCCTATATATAATAAAATAGGGTGCAAAAACCTGATAAAATTAAAGTGCCAAACATACTTATAAGAAAGCTTATGCAGGCATTTATTTCATACAATATATTTCCGTCTCCAATGCAAATTAATTTTCCTTTTCCTTTTCCTTCTCACAACATGTTTATAAGTATATTGTATAAAATAAATGATATACTCGTATTAATGCAACAGAATGCTTAAATACAATATTATGCAGGCATATAGTGTATATGTATATATCATATGAAATGGTGAAGCAATATATGGCACTAATGGACTATACTATACTATTTAAAATTCAAAGTAGTGGAAATGTTACACTGGAGTGACACTAATTAAACCAAACGTTTCGCTTACCTGCTTTTCAGATGCCTGTAATGGAAAATATATAAAACTAATGGCGTCTTACAGCTTCCTTTTTGCAGTTGTATGCTTTTATACACAAAAGAGAAACATTCTTCCATAGACTATCTGGAATGGTGAGGATTATGTGATGGACCAGCTGTGGAATTAATTTGAAGCACTATGACGTAATAGTGAAGTGCGGGTGACATTTATTGCAGTTATTAGCACTACAAAATAGACATTAACATGGCACTACAACACTACAATTTTCATCAGTATTGCACAGATACTAATCATTCACGTGCTTCAGGTCGTTCACAGTGATAGTGTAAGCTTAAGACTGAAACAACGATATTCAGCTGTTCGTGAGGGTTTTCTATACATGCGCAATGCTGCTCTCATAACCTGAAAGTACACAATATAAAATGGCCGCCCAGATGGATATATTTCCTTTTTTGGAAAAGTTTCGATGGAGCGCAGATGTTAATGGTTAATGTCCAATTTCTTATACTACGTTCTTAACGTAGTTAAATTACAATAAACCGAAATATAAACTTAACAATTTCCGATCCTGGACAATATTCAACAGTACACATACGAAAGAAGTGGCCTGTGTGTCAACGATAGTACATTATGCATCTTAACGGGAAGTTAATATAACTGAATGTGAAAACGAGGCGAATGCCTTTATTCTTTATGCCGTAATATACCAAAGATCAGGTTTTACGAAAGATAAATTCTTACACATTTGCCAAGATGGCCGTCATCACGACAGTCTGCCAGTCCTCGCAAGAAAGGACTAAAAAACCTGAAGGTGAGAAGTAGTTTAGGAAACAAGAAAATTCAGCCGGTTTTGTGGAAAATGGAGGGAATTTTACCGACGCTTTCATGAACAATGTGAGTAATATTTACCATACATAATATTAAAAATTACAACGTCCTTGCAATACCCTTGAAACTTAGCGTTACACAGTAGTTTATGAACAATTAGGGAGAATGAAGAAAGCAGTCTTCTGGGATGTGGCGCCGTGTAGATGTAGTGTTAACCGACTTCGGAGGAACGTATCGCCTCCATCTTCAGGGTAGAAGGAAAAATAAGAAATCCGCAAGCGAAGAGACCGTGAGAACCGGTACAAGCAGACTGCACTAAGAAACCTCATCCGTTCCCAAACACTTTCTTTGGCTCTTAGAATGGCAAGTTCTGGATTGTATTATAGAGTCACGATCATTGCCATATCAAATATGACTATTATTTTATTATTCAATCTTTACTGTTGACACTCATTAGAACCAACATATCGAAAAACGCGAATCTACTTTTGAAGTTGATGAGACTTAATTGAGAATGAAAGTTAAGGCGAATTAACTAAAACGTTGGATTTCTTGTTCAATTTCACTGATAAGCAATGCGTACTTCATGCAAAATAACATTTTGGTAAACTAGTCGTCAGTTCAGAAATAGGGTCCAGAGATACTGTTTGTAAGTTATGCAGTTTTTTATTAATGTTGGAACTTCGTTTAGAACGATGGATTTTAGGAAAGCAGTTCATGATTGTTCCATCGGGAACAGCAACAGGTTTCAGAAATCATATTAATGCACTCTACCCAAGACACGTAACTCACGCGATTATGTCGAAACCTCGTCAGTAACAAATTAACAACGTCTCTCTGTTCCTTCGCGAATAAGAAAGAGCAGCTTTTCCACTAACTATACATGCAGAGTATCATTAAAGCAGGATTTTCACAGAAAAAGTACTTCAATTCAAAAACTTTCTGATTAGCAACTTCCACTAGAGCAGAATTTTTGTGCAGTAATTCGTGAAAACTTAAGACCAGGTACTGCCAATAAGCCTACAGAGGGGCGTATCTGTACAAAATAAATGTTAAACTATACATAAACCCGTGCCAGAGCTCACGCGGTTAGTCGCTGGCTTCCCACCGCGGCTGCCCGGGTTCGAACCCGGGTCCGGTCAAGAGGGATTTGTGGTGGAGAAAGTGACGCTGGGGCGGGTTTTCTCCGAGCACTTCGGTTATCCCTGCCAATCTTCATTCCACCAAATTCTTCATCGTCATAATCACCCGGGACAGGCTACAACAGGCCCACCAGTGGCCTCCGTGCCGAGTGGACCCAGTTGGACTCCACCCCCCACTAAGAGAATTAAAAAAAAATTTAAAACCATATATAAATATCTGCCTGAAATCCCGTAAATGTAGGATTCACCGACCACATGAAAGCCATACTGAAAACACGTCTGCTCTTATTTGCTACACAGTTTTATATTCACTGCAAGAATTACCAACTTTTCCATTTCATGAGACGATTCTATGTGCACTTACTTAAGACATAATTATTCTCACTTCTTCATAATACGCATCGATAACGTCCACGACAATCAGCACATGAAGGGAATGATTAGCATCTGTAAAAAGCAGGCGTAACAATAGAAATATAGACACGTGTAAGGTTATATGCACACAGTCTATTTAGGTGCTGGGATGTACTGTTTAGTGCCTTCAAGCATACACTGGGAAAGATTTTGTTGCGTAATGAACCGATTTTACGTTCTGCAAGCGCAACAATGAACTGTCGTGAATATATTTTTAGAATAGAGTGACGCATACCACACAGAGTAACAATAATCATGATATTAGTGGCTTTACGAAATAATTCATTAGCAAATTATATTTTAATGCAAAGTTAACTGCTTTTCATAAGGGTTACTGAATGTAAGCAAACTTACATTGCCGTGCTGTTTTATTTCGTATGGCCTTTTATATAGACGCAATTAATATAGTGACGTATTATGTACTATATACTATATCACAAACTTAAAGCATATAAACTGGGCTCTTTATATCATACACATACATGAAATACTAGAAAAGCGGATACGGCCATGCGTCATAAATATAAACAACAATTCAAAAAGCGTCACCTTTATCTAGATAATATCTTCACGGTTGATAAGACTGACCATAAGTTTCCATAATGATGATAAAAGTTCATAAGAAATAAGTTAACACTGCCAATATAAACACACACTGTTGCCTCAATTGACATCCCCATAAGTTGGTAACAATTCATATTTATTTGCAAAAGCAAACCAGCCGCTCCCATCTTCTGAAAATTGGTCATACTTGTATTAAGTTAGTCTAATTGAGATTTTCCACCTATAAACGGGACTATGGTCAGATGCAATACTATTATAAACTACCAAACATAACGTACATATGTGTACGCAGCCTCTGAAGTAGAATATTTAGTATGACCAACTTTCACACACGAACCTTCTGTTCCACTCTCAATGATGCATGACCCTTTATGTCAAGCTGAACGGGGTTATATATTAACACAAAACGAAGAGCAGTGGATTTTATCCGTTCCAACAAAACTCTTGTTGCTACTGAAAGATGGTTTCAGTCCTTCACTCTCATTATTGTTCCTATTGAAACGGACGTCACTGGACAGCAGCCAATCACAATCGAAGAAGGAACGAGATCTAGAGCAGCTTCTTGTGCCGCCATTCGGATTGTTTTAGCTGTCTTCGTGGCGCGAGTCGTTTTCAGAGACCGCCTGGGATGGAGAGTGGGGCACTGGGCTCTGCAAACAATATGCTTAATGTCACTCCCTTAGCAATGCTTGTCACGTGAAGCAAAGAGCAGGGCAATTTCATGCAAGAAGGGAAAAAATTACGCTCATAAAGTCTGATGATGAGAAAATTACAGTTTAGGCTGTTTGTCGGATATTTTTTATAAGTACGCATTCAACGAAAGTGATGCTGAATACGTACCATGAACATTTTAAAAATATTTGGTATGCCTAGAAGATGCTGAAGGATAGTAGTTTAATATTCATTCTGTATTTCTGGTGTACTGAAAGCTATGAAGAAGGAAGGAGTCAGAAGCTTGAACACCGTTCGATCTACGTTTCTTCGGACATAATCAGAGGAAAAGAGAGTACATGCTTAACATTTGTATCATGATTAATTTTATAATATGTGTCATTTTAAATAAATATTAAGCCCTAGATAAGTTACTGGAATTACAGTCCAGGATTTATATTTTGTTATAAATTTGGATTTAACGGAATTCGCATAGAAAGAAAACTATTTCAAAATGTTCTATTGGATTTTACATTAAAAAGAAAAACTGTACACTTAGGTACGCTGATATATTGGGTTTCTGGACTTTATCCATCGTCCTAATTTTTAAGATAACTAATAAAAACACGACGTTTCGGAAACTGGATCTGTTTCCGTCCTCAGGTGAAGGAAAACACCTATTCTGTTGGGTCCATTAGAAAGAGCTAGCCACAATCACTGGTCCAGTGATTTCCTTCACCTGAGGACGGAAACAGATCCAGTTTCCGAAACGTCGTGTTTTTATTAGTTATCTTAAAAATTAGGACGATGGATAAAGTCCAGAAACCCAATATATCAGCGTACCTAAGTGTACAGTTTTTCTTTTTAATGTAAAATCCAATAGAACATTTTGAAATAGTTTTCTTTCTATGCGAATTCCGTTAAATCCAAATTTATAACAAAATATAAATCCTGGACTGTAATTCCAGTAACTTATCTAGGGCTTAATATTGACCTAAAATGACACATATTATAAAATTAATCATNTTTAGTAACTGGCGCACCGGAGAGGATAGAGACATCGGGCAGACCTCCCCGCTTCCTGCAACAGTGCTGCCAACGCAAGCGCTTCAGAATTTCAGCCCTGAACCGTTGGAGATATTTCATGAAAAATTAATCTTGCGTACAATGAACATTACAATAACTAATTATTAACAAGTAAAACCATAAAATATGGTTAAGAAAAATAGTTTTGGTTCCAGATATGTCAATGTTCCTAGAAACAGCCTTACCAGCTGAAGTGTATACAGTAGAAGGCTAATTTTTACTGGAAGAGCAGTCAACACAAACAATTCTCTGCTATGCCGTGCAGGGACTGGCAGATCAAGAGTTTCCAAAAGAGGACAGAATTTATAGCGAAGCCAAGCTAGGACAAGGAAATTTAAACCGCTCTAAAGCAGAATAACTGCAATGGACATGGGCAAAGAAATGATCGAAACAGAAAGCTACAGACTTCTGCTGCATGCGTTCCCGTTTTCTGTCATCAGTGATAAAACAGAATTCCAAATAAGGGAGGCATAGCCAACTACTATATAACTAGGGTAATATACAGTACGTACAGACATTCGAGGGATTTGAAGGCCAAAAGATTTATAATGAGAATATATATAGCTGACATTATTATTGAAACGAAGTTTAGAATCTAGAATCTTTAATGAAGTCTGTGCATGTTGTAGAAGACTGAAAAAATGTTACTCGTAAATCAATATGTTAGTTTTCTTGATAAGGATACAATTTTAGCTTTAATAATGTTGAATTTCATTTAGTTAGCAGTGTACGAACCTCATATAGAATCAATATCAGACTGTAGCAGATTTAATTCTTTAAGAGAGTTAATGGCACCGTAGATTTTCATATAAGTAAAAGGCAGTTATCTAGAGTAGTTCTATGCATCACATAAGTCATTAATAAACAGATCCTTGAGGAGCATTACTCCAAAGGAGATGAAAGATGTCCAGGAACATGGACCAGGTACTATCTTTTTGTTAGGCAAGAACAAAGCTAATTAACATAACCATCAGTGTCTGAAAGCATTTAGCTTATGGAGAAGCAGGGTGTGAGCAACAAGGTAAGATGCACTGCTAAGCTCGAAATAAATGGAGAAAACTTGAAGATGAAAGCACACTAAAGGGGGTAATACAATCAGGATAAGTTACGTAACTGGCGATGGTAAATTTTGATATAATAAAACCACACACGCGGAGATTAAATTCAAACTTTAAATAATGTAAAATACTGTTATGAACAGCAAATTAAACTAATTTGGAAAAATGAGTAATTACAGAAATGAATCTGTAATGGATATTAGAGGCGCCGTTATCTTTTAAAGGCGGGAAAATTTGTCACTTCTTTCTAGAAGTTAGGAAAATGCTGTTGAGTTAAGCTTATATTTAAAATATGTTCCGAGCAGGTACAAAGACATGAGAATATCCAATAACAAAGCCAGGGGTGTCATCAAATTCGATAAATTCAGATGGTCTAAGACTTTTAAAGGCCTTAAAATGTCCGAATAAGAAATGGGAGCTACAGATAAAATTCAAAATACAGCAAATGGGAATAGAAGACTCCTGAGCAAGGATTATTATAGCCTGATTTAAAGCGTTTAGCTAATTCATCAGCAACTTCCTAAGGTTCCACCAAATGAATACCATCTACCTGAAGCTGAATACAAGCTGAAGTACTTTTCCTACAAGCGGCCAAGTTGAGTACTTCCGGAACTGATTGGGTTGCGACTTTAAATTACCACCAGTGGACTTCAACCGTCTGATTGTCTGATTTATAGTTGCTTTAACTAGCTTACGAAAAATGTAAATTAATTGTATTGACAGTCGTATTTCTTCCTTTTAAAACATCTGTCAAAATAATACCTTTTCCTAATGTAATACCTAAAAGAACCAGAAAATGCCAGTATGTGAATTCTGACTTTCTGGTGTAATCACGTGGAACTGCCTGTTCCATAGCTTCTCGGACAATAGTGTTGAGGCTGGAGACAGTAGCATCGACAGAGGTGGTATCATACATATCAGAGCAGTCAAAAACCTAGAGAAGGATACACAATAGGAAGGGCGACAACAGAGAAGGGTGTTGTTTGTATCAGGTTTTACAACTCCAGAGTTGACGAAACTAATATTGAAGTAATTTAAGTTAGAAAATATCGAGTGTAGCGCAGTACTGCCTGCAGCATTAACGTACTAATGTACGCTACGTAGATTCGTGGAGATTTAGAATGCATCCCCCTTAAGCCAGAGTAAAAATATTAGTTCGGAAGAAACATGTTTCTAAACTAATCCAGGAATGTAAGATTTGAGGCTTTCACGGCGGTGACTATGAAGAAAGCAGTCTTCTGGGATTTGGCACCGTGTATATGTGGTGTTAACCGACGTTTCGGAGGAACGTATCGCCTCCATCTTCAGGGTAGAANGGGAAATAGGGGTTGCCAAAGGAGAAACTTAGACCGTCCAAAGCAGGCATTTCAACCCATACGCATTCGTAGCAAGATTTTAAGTCGTACCTGCATTTAAGGGAGCGAAGTATTGGGAACAGTGCATTCAGCACCTCCCTACCGCATGTCTTGTGTCATACGGAGGCTATTCGGAAAGTAGCCTCCGTTATTTTAGGCAACAAATGTAGGAGCGGGGATGAGCTCGCTCATGCGAGGTAGCGCCACATGATTTATTGGCCTGTAAACCACCATAAAACTGGTCACCTGGTGTTTGTTCTTGTCTCCACACAGTAAGTTATGAAGTGTCCCGCGGCTGATAATCCCGCCAGCTGCAGAATTCGTTCTCTTATCCGGGTTTCTTCACGCTAAAAACATGAGTGCTGCAGAAATCCATCGTGAATTATACGGGGCGGTTTACTGCCAAAATGTAAGACAAAGGTGTAGAATGTTTAAAGATGAGAGGGCGAAGCGGTTGGCCACCTGTAGTGAGTGATGATCTTGATCAAAGTGCTGACCAAAAATTTGTGAAAGACAATTTCATTATTTCAGAAGTTTCGTGTGAATTTTCACTGATTTCACGCATTTTCTCTACAAGATTATTACATTTAGGCTAGGCAATCACAAGTTATGAGCAAGATTGGTTCAAAAGGTGTTCACGACTGCGAACAAAACGCAGAGAACACCTTACACCTTGACACTTTTTGAGCTATACCATAAAGATGCCGATGAGTTTCTCAACCACATCGTACGAGTAACAGATGATGAAACCTGGGCTTAATTTGTGTATGCTGAAACCACAGAGCAGTCAAAGCAGTGGATGCACACACATTCACCAAACAAGATGAAGAAGTTTAAAGAAACGATGCCTGGTTGCAAGAAAGCTGATGGCAACTTTTTTCTGGGACAGGAAAGGAGTGCTGATGGTGGAATTCATGCAACAAGGGACTACAATTACGCCAGAAGTGTATTGTGTAACGCGAAAAGAATGCGTAGACCCATTCAGAACAAAAGGGGTGGAATGCTGACATCCGGTGTAGTGCTTCTTCATGACAATGTGTGTCCGCATACAGCTGATCGTACTTGAGCACTACTGGAGCATTTCAACTCGCTACGAGCGACAACCGCCTGTTTCGTCGCATCTCCATGAAGAACTGGTTGGGATCACAGCAGTTCAGCAGTAATGAGGAGTTCGTGGAAGGCGTCAAAATGTACGTGACTGAATTCACAGGCTAAAATCTTCTCTGACACAGACATTCAGAAACTTATTCCCCGATGTGACAAATGCCTCAATTCCGGAGGTGACTAGGATAAGAAGTAGCTTAAGTATGTTTTGTTAACAGGGCACCGGAGGTTACTTTCCGAATAACCCTCCTACATCCTAGTCGGAACGAAAAACTCTGTCACAGTCATGAAATAAATTGTCAACGTAACACAAGTCGCTCAGTTGTGTCTGGTTTAGACAAATTATGTTATATATAAATCTTGGAACGGACGTTACAGAACCACGTTTATTAATCTCACAAAATTAGCCATCATTTCAGTGCAATAGCACCTTCCCAATGGGCTCCATCAATACTTACAGGACTGCATGCACGTTCCAAAGGAGGCGGATCTACACCGGGGGGGGGGCAGACATAGCTGAATTGAGTGGAACTGGTATCCAGTATATTTGGAACTCAAGTAACAAAAAGAAAACTTGTACCCAATTGATGAAAGGAACAAATTAAAAGAAAAACTAGAATTTCAATGGTTCATATAATATTCGACAAATATTTGTAGGATAATTGTATGGAGGTCGTTTGTTAATAGAACTGTCGTCCTGCTGGGTCAAAATTTGTGTGAACAGAAGCATATTTAAAGACAAAGGCACAGAAAGGAAGAAAGTATTAATAAGGATCTTGTGAATATAAATTATGACTGCGTGAAACTGCCTGAAATGACACATGATAAGATATATTGGTAGGATACTTGTCAAGCGGTGAACTAATGTGGATTTAACACCAGAAAGTGAGAAAATGGGTACGATACAAGTCACGTGTATGAATTCACTTAAAATTAATGCAATCTCGTTATCATACGTCGCTGCAGACTAGGTATCACAATTCATACCCCAGGAAAAGAGAATCAAATGATACCGAATAAGTGAGTCAGTTTATGAATTGCATATTCGTCGTCAGACTGCGGCAGCCTCAGAGGTTTGTGCCTCGAAAACCGAACAATTATTTTAAATTTATAAAATGTGCAAATATTATGGTTTTGGACATTATCCATCGTCTTGGTTATGATGATGATGATGATGACTTCTAGATAATGCCAGGACGATGGATAATGTCCAAAAACATAATATTTGTACCAATGTGCCACCGTCACAAACTTTTAGATCTTAGTTATAAAATGTGATTACATAGATCTGTCACAAGAGGAAATAAATTTGGGGAAAATATAAAATGTATTACAACACGACACCTCGTTCATTCATAAATTATAATGCGCAGCAGCATTTCTGTCGTACAGCTGGAACACGCCGCTGCAGATTCCTGATTTTGACCATTACTGTAGGACGACAAGGCAACTTAGCATACTGCAGCCCTCATGCTTTGTCAGTTTTAGAATTCGATGGAGAGCAGAAACGTGACAAGCCTCAGTATCCCCCCCCCGTTTTGTGCCTACTTAATGTCTATACTTATTCTAAAACATTAAGTGCACACAGTGCTTTCATTCCAGCCAATGCAATTGTAATGTTGCAAGCGAACCACAGGGTGCAGTGTTGCCAGTGCTGACTACATTCCTTACAGTCACTGTTTACACGTTTCCTTTGTACGCGACCTAATTTTCTGTAAGTTACACCGGACAAATATTTTCATTCATTTCGGACACAAATATTGATTCCGAGAAACGTGTAAACAGGGACTGGGAATCATTATTGGGATGCACAACCAGTCCGATCTCATGAACAGTTAAAAATGCAGCAAAGTATGAAAGTTGCAGGCAATTCACTCTGCTTTCTAATTATCTCGAAAATAACAAGACGTGTGGAAAAATCTGCATTGTATCCTTCTCTGCTACTTTTGTTCGAAACTCCGATAAATATTTCGCGATTTGCACGACCAGTACTCGAGGTGTGCTTAGAAATTTATGTAATTCTTCATGTAAGGCAGTGAGCAGCGGCCCTGTTTGTATGAGGATCCATTTGAAAATCTCAAAGCCTTCCGCGCAGTCTAATCCAAGTCCTACTTTCTAACAGTGAAAGTTACACTTTATCAACAATTTTTTTTCCTTGGGTTCTTAAGGTGCAAAAATTATTTGGTATTAATGCAAGTAAAAATTAATATAATCTCTTGGTTGCATTTTAAACGCTGGAAGACCGTCTATGGGAAGCTTGCCACCGATTGTTTGCGCCAGGTTCTCAAGAGCTGGACGTACATATGTGGGAAGTAGTAACTCGGGAGCCCTTTCCAAACTTTTGTAGAAGAGTCGACTTCTGGATTTAATTCAGAGCGTTCATTTTTTGGAAAACTTTTCATAAATATGTGCTCTTTATGAAAGGCTTCAGCGGTTCTATAGATGTTACCTGCACACAGAAGGACATGGCGAAGCTAATCAAGCATTTTTGCTAACTTCTCGTTGCGAATGCACCAAAAAGAAGACATTCGTAAAATTAAATGGCGAATCTATGTATACTTATTGATTTGAGTTTTGGTTTCTCCTTCTGTAAGTGCTTCAAAGTTATTCTCGGTAACTGGACTATACAGACCCTACACACTCTACATAATTTTTATTGTCAAGGCAACTTCTGTATAGGGCCAATTGTCAATCAACGTCAAAACATTCGACATGCGTCGTTTTGTTATCACTCAAAAATCAATCTTTTCTTAAAAAAACATTTTGCAGCAAAATTCGCACTTGAAAAAAATTCTAATATGTCTGACAAAATAGCAGCAAGTTACAAACATCTTCCACAGTAAAAAAGTAAGTAAAGCTATCCCTGTAACAGGCCGTGAAGGCCTATGGGGTTGTGAGACGTTGAGGCTCCCACATTACCTAGGTAATCGGCTCAAAGATGGTGGTAAGGTTCTCAGCCTTACGCGCCGGCCGCGTTTACTCCCTAGGAAAATTATTTAATTAATTCCTGGTACTCAGTTCTGTTAGAGACTGAGTCGACCCCAGGGCCATGGTGTGGCTGGAAGGATTAGGTCAACTGAAAAAATCCAATGAACTCATCGGGACTTGAACCCGCGACCTCCCGGCTTGTAGCATAGTGCGTCAACCAACTACGCTAATGCGTGTCCCATCTTCCACAGTTCTGTTAAAAAATGCATCTCTTCGGTTTTAGACCGACATATGGGAAACATTTCTTCGGCAGGAAGAACCAAATACACCCCCAGCTGTGTTCAGTTCTGGGCATAGAGATGACAACGACGGAGGTGGTGATGATAAAGATGAATTGCGGAACGTTTAATAGGTAAAAAGTCTTACAAACAAAATGCAGGAAAATTTGTCATAATTCTGAAGCTCTTGCTTAAGACACGTCATCGGTTGTTCTATCCAGTAAAGTGTTTTGAAATACTATATCAAGCTGCTCATCCGTTCATGTTATTATGATAATCTGTTGATGGAAAGTGTAAATACCATAAAGAATAATGCAGAAATTCTCCCACAGGCAAAAAATCTGTCCGGAATAAAATGTGGCCAAAACTATATATATGCATATATGAAGGGGAATATGTCACAAAATCAAAAATATTAAAAAATTCTTTGGAATAATATTACCATATGTAATGAATCAACTGAGAATTTAAAAAATTTGAGTAGTTAGGAACACGAGGTTTACAAAAAATTTTTGAGAACGTTCGGTTCTGGAAATTCTTGCTATTACTGAGCTCCACACTGCCATAGACCTTCATACGGCCCACAACACTGAAATAATGCTGCACAAAGCAAATATTCTGCCAGCTGTTCTGTACGAGTGCGGAACGAGGAACTATGTGGGTCATGAGGCAGCAGTGGAAAACGGCTACTTGAACACCCTAGACAGAGACGGGAGAATAAGACTAAGATATGTCTTAGAGAGAGGCTATAGAGATGAGAACAAATGACAATGATTAAGGATCCTACACAACTGCAGACTCTTGCTATTTGCGTTGCGTGTTATCGGATATTTTTACCAGAGTAAGTATTTTCAAGGCAATTCACTCAAATGATCATATAAGTAATAATTTCTTAATCACAAACATTTCTGGATACTAAGTTGTACATGCTGTGTAACATGTTCACCTGTGTGCCAGAAACATGGCCCTCCTCGGAACTGGCGATGCTGCTAGCCCCGCCACTGATCTGCTTTAGATAGATTTTATCGTCGAAGATCTTGATGTCACCACCGCCAGGTCTGTACTTCACGTTGGCCAGGGAATCAACCTTACTCTGTGCCTTGAATTCAAGCTTCTGGTTCTCGATCTGCAACACACAAAGGCTCGCTGTAAGCGCTGCAGAGCGACTGATCTGGATTGTCTCCAATGTAACGAAGGCTCGCTGTAAGCGCTGCAGAGCGACTGATCCGCATTGTCTCCAATGTAACGAAGGCTCGCTGTAAGCGCTGCAGAGCGACTGATCCGCATTGTCTCCAATGTAACGAAGGCTCGCTATAAGCGCTGCAGAGCGACTGATCCTCATTGTCTCCAATGTAACGAGGTTCTTCTGAGATCGAAGGCTCACGAAAAGCTGCAACGCTACCCTGCCATTATAATACGAATGTGGAGTTACACAGCCCTACTGACAATTACTGATTACATTAGATCAGATTACTGTTTTCAGGAGATGCAAATGCGTGAATAGCCGCTCACAGTGGCCGCGCAGGGTAAGTCATGCAATGAACACTGGGACCGTGGGTTCGGAATCCCACTCGAGGCATGGATGTCCCCGTCCATTCTCTGTGCAGGTAGCGACCTTGCGACAGGGCTGATCCCCCTTTCCAACGAGTCCTACCGACTGTCTATAATATTAAGGAAAATGAAGTGAAACTGCATTTCAAAGAAACCCTATGCTTCAGAAGATAAAGATAAAAGATAAAGTTGTGCCTGTGCTTAACTAATTAAGAACTACACCATGAAGGCGTATGGGGACGTATAGACCCACATTTTCTTGACCTCGACACTAGTTAGAGCTGTCGTTAGCTTCACGCTTCTGCCGCTTTACCCCCAGAGAAACAGCCCCCGTACCCATTGTATAGGAGGTCTGGTGGACCCCAGAGCCGATCTGGACGACATGGAGAAGTGAATATTCTTGACCCTACCGGGACTTGAACTCCGACCTCTCGGTCGTCCAGCCCGTAGCCAGTCGCTATGCGGACTACACTATCCCGGGTCCTATGCTTCAGAGAGAGCAACATTAATTATAATACAGAGCGAGTGAATAAGTGCCAGGTTCTTCGACTCTTTTAGTCAATGAACCATGTTGAGTTCGCCTTAGGGATACCATTACTTAAAAAATAATATGTGCCGAACAGATCGGTCTGGAGGCAGAGTTCTAAGCTTGTATTCGATGGGCAGTCGCTTCGAATTTCGGCTGGGTGACATGATATGCTGAATATTTCCTTGATTTTCCTCAGTCTCTCCAGGTAAATGCTGAGACATTGCCTCAATCAGACCAAGGCCGCTTCCTTCCAAATCATTACGATCATTAATCCCAACATTGGACACTATACAGCGTGTCCCAGAAATAAGTACACAATATTGGAGCGTGAACACGAGTACTATGGCCTAATGCAGTGAAATTATCTCACATAAACTTGGGTCTGTAAATGCTTCTGTATCAATGTACAGCCATTCGAAGGCGTTCAGGCAGCAGTAGTACCAGGGCTGTGGTTACAGAAAAACATATGCCAGGGACACTTCTGAAGGCAACCAGAGTTTACATTGGACGATGTCAAAGACCATTTTTCTTTCGCCACTACCACATTCTCCGTTCAGCAGTGAAACATACAATCCTCGTGGTGTTTCCTCTAACAGTAGAATAGTAGAACTTCAATTTCAAAAGTAGATTTAATGTCATAAGAGTGTACAGCTTGGGTTAAACAATTTTCAGGTAAACATTGTCAATAACAAAACGAGCACTCTTCAAGAAATTCCCCCAAACTGGGCTAGAAGTGTAGTTTTACATTCCAGAGACAGGAGGTAATAATTCTGGGGGGCAACAGTGATGCTCAAAATATTAATCTCGCATTGCCACAGAAGCTGTACGTATATCTGGAACATTTTGTGTTGTGTCTATGCTGAAAGCACAGTTACATAACTACAAGGTCGCGCCATAGCTCAAGCGGATAGTCTCTGGCTTCCCACGGCGGCGGCTAGGCTTCGATCCTGGGTCTGGTCAAGTGGAATTTGTGGTGGACAAAGTGACGGTGGGAAGGGTTTTCTCGGAGTACTTCGGTTTCCCCTGCCAATCTTCATTCCACCAAATTATCCATCATCATAATCACCCGGGGCAGGTACAATAGGCCTACCAGTGGCCGCCGTGCCGACTGGACCCAGCTGAATTCCACCACCCATTAAGCGAACTTCAATTTTTACATAACTACAAAATAATACATAGACCTAAATAAACAACGCATTTCAAATGTCATTCTTATTTTGCAATAACTTCAAGCTACTAACATGTCACTATTCCTAAAAAGTGCAAAGAAAAGCTTATAATGTGCTTATTTCGTAAGATCACAATTAATTGTACTCTCGCCTCCGTGAACACTGGAGTCGCTAAGAGAAATAACTTCAATATGCAACCCATTAACGTATCAATAAATATGTCGTCGCGTGATTCGAAATGTGGTTGGAAGAATCAGCGACTGTATTACAGATGAGGGCTACTTTCAGAATATACTGTGATGATTAACAGGTATTACTGACCCTGACACTATTATGAGAGTCCATAATAATAACAATAATAATAATAATTTAATAATTAAATAACTAATAGGTTTTTGCTTTACATGCGACCGCATCTGTGGTCTAGTGGTCAGAGTTCCTGGCTATAGATTCAGAGATCTGGGTTCGATTCCCGACGCTAGCAGATTTTCTGAGAAGTAGTGAGTCTGGAACGGAGTCCACTCAGCCTCGTGAGGATAATTGAGTAGCTATTTCAAGGAAATAGCGGCTCCGGTCCAGAAAACCGAAATATTAATGACCGTGGGGATACGTTGCCCTGATCACGCGACAAGCTCTTTCCGCTAAAGTTGCCACTAACTTCGCTCGGTCGGTATAAGTTCGCTTGCGGACTGAAACCACGGATTTTATTTGTTTTGGCTTTACGTGTTTCAATCATTAGTGGCCATCATGAAGAGGCAAATCAGCTTTACATTCCATACGTCGATATTGTACGTAAGTTGTTACAAAAAAAAATATCGATGAGATTTGTGCTAGTTGTGAATGTTAGGCTAAGTAGTTAAAACTGTTAAGTCCAGAAGACACGTTAAGTTGATATAAGTTAGATGAAGTGACGGTCTTCCTAATGGTTTATAATGTTGACTGCATAGTATTTTTAACTCTGTATTTAAGCAACCTGTTGCAAGCCATATTAAAACTTCTATGTATAACACAGTCCGTCAATAATGCAACAAATTGTTCCTTTTTCTTCCACTTTCACTTTAACAGAACAAGTTTCGGCCTTAGATGTCCATCTTCAGGCATGTCAACATATTAAAACTGCTACACTGCATTAATATGCGCTAAAATCAAACGTTGTAGTACAGTTAATAAAATAAAATAAAGTAAAATCCATTAAAATTTTATATCACAATCTTTCATTACTTTGGTGAAATTCTATTCCCCCTCACGACACCCCATTAGATTTACAGAAGAGAGATCATGTTCTAATGTTAGGTGATGTTGAGAGAAACGAGTAGTAAAGATTATTCAGTATTTTTTGGTACACTAATGTTCACGGGCTGTTTACGTAGATTGTTATTATTCACAGGGATTAAGAAGTTTAATAAATGCATTTCTCGAAGATTAAGAAGAACCTAGAGCTCACTACAAGACTGCAACACAAAAAAATAAAGACATTTAGTTTGCGTAGAGTTTACGTTAAGACCCGGACGAAGAACGGAAATTCTAGCTAGTTAATTCGAATTTCAAGAACTGAAAAACATGATTTCATAATCTATATCAGCCTGTGCTTAAAAGCTAACATTTATGTTTAAGGAAGACTATTCATAGAGTTTCAAGATTTAGGTATTCTAGACTCTTCTCATTCTGAATTCAATAGGCCTACTCATGCAACACGATACTTTTTTTTTATTGCTAGTGGGGTGGGACTAAGTCCCTTGTACTGCGGCCACTTCTGGCCTATTGTACCAGCCCCAGATGATAAGTGAGGGTGATTGTGGAGCAATTGGTGGAATGAAGATTGGCAGGGGAAACCGAAGTATTCGGAGAAAACCTGACCCAGCGCCACTTTGTCCACCACAAATCCCACTTGACCAGACCCCGGGATCGATCCCGGGCCGCCGCCGTGGGAAGCGAGCGACTAACCGCTTGAGCTATGGCGCGGCCAACACGATACCTTGCGTGGGGTTTCAGCACATCAAAAGGACTGTAGCATTATGACACAAAATTATACGGACGAGAACTATCAATGGTTGAATGGGGTACGATCCAGTGACGCCTAAATATATGGGATCGGCAAGAAAACTGTTTCCATTTCTGCACACCGTAGTGTACTTTGTTTATTCTGAACGACGATGAGAGTAGCGCATGCGCAAATAAAGATTCAAACGGTAGGATGAATAGTTAGCAAACAAGAAGAAAGGACGTCAAGGGCTGAAGTTATGGCTTTATGTTTCGGCGTTTGTGAGGATTGAGGAACCTATGAAAATTCTGTCAGCATTGCCAGTCTCTGGGCTCTGATTTGAACGCGGGGCCTTCCGAATAAGAAACAGGATTGCCAACTCTCGATCGAGATATTTGATACCACATATAAAACATAATTTAATGCCGTCACGAGTTCTTATCCTGAAAGTGTCCAACTGAATTATTCGTATGAAATATTCCTCTAAGAGACAGAATTATGGAGTGACAGGAGGTTGGAGAAAAGCGAAAAATGAGTTTCATAACGTGCACTCTTTTCCAAGTATAATTAGAATGGTCAAATAAAGGAGGATGAAGTGGGCCGGACATGTAGCACGAATGAGGTAGAAGAGGAATGCATATAGGATATTGGTGGGAAAGCCAGAAGGAAAGAGACCAAGGGGTATGAGGTCGAACAATATTAAAATGGATCTTAGAGAGACAGAATTGTATGGTATGAATTGGATTGTTCTAGCTCAGGATAGGGACCAGTGGAGGGCTCTTGTGAAGACTGTACTGAACATTTGCGTTCAATAAAATGCTGAGAATTTTTTGTGTAGATGCACAATTGGCGGTTTCTCAAGAAGGGTTCAGCTCCGTGAGTGAATAAGTGTGATA